GGGGGGGGGGGGGGGGGGGGGGGGGGGGGGGGGGGGGGGGGGGGGGGGGGGGGGGGGGGGGGGGGGGGGGGGGGGGGGTCGTATCACTCCTTGCGTTTCGAGCAGCCAGTGTGACGGTCTTCACCCCAATGCGGTTAGGAAGGGGGGCCAGCACCCAGCGTCCTGAAGGAACACAAGACAGTGTCCAATGCCTCCAACCGGTGGCGTGGGCGAATGATCGCAACGGGTCCGATTCCACCAACACCCTAGCCGAAGCCCCCCTCACAGCCGAAGTCCCGGGCCGCTTCAAGCACACAAACACGCTTTGAGTGTTGTGTGCTCCGAGGGTGCGACGGCAAGACGAAGCAACGGCCAGCCCCGATCCCGGACAAAGCCGTCCACGCGGACATACAAGGAAATATTATCCTGAAAGATATAATTAGAAAACGACAAAAGTATTCCCCCACAAACAGGAAACGACTACGATTGAGTCCAGAATCACCGAGCACCGTCCACTACCGCCGGCACTCGAGAGACCAACGCGCGTCATTTCGAAGAAGACAATACATGAAGAAACAGGCACGAAGACCATTACACCCGTTCGACATCAAACCGCAGTCCTTTTGACAGAGAGAAACGATCAGTCGGTTGGACGACAGAGAACCAGTCTCACCCATGACGGTGGTGTCGGTGAGGCCGACGCGCATCTTCCCCTGGAGCCCCCGGATGATGTATTTTGCCTGGAGGCCTTTGCAGGACACCAACATCTGCCAAAGACAATGGCGTCCCGTCAGTCCCGTTCTTCTCGTCTCCACCAACAACTGGCATAGGCAGCGGCACTCGGTGCCGCAGCACAAGCGCCAATACAACAATGAACTGCCACAGACATAGGGACACCACCGCATACTCAGGGGAAGAGGAAGAGCCACGCCATACCGCACGACTCGCGCACAACCCGCCTGCGCCTTACTGCAGGCAAGCGCAGTGGCCGAAGTGCTGCAAGGCGACACGAACAACGTATGAACAATAACTGAACGCGGGATGCGGCGGCGACCTGTACCTTCTTGATGCGGTTGATCTTGTCCTCCCCCGAGGAGTTGCCCTTGACACGAGCGATGGCTCGGTACCTCTCCAATACCTGGCGCGGCGGCGGGGGGGAGGTCGAAGGGGATTCAAACGCCGCCGAAACCCGGTCAGATGGGCAAGTGTACGCCGTCGCCCGAACGAACGTGAGTATCAAATATCATCACCACCAACTACAACAACGACGACGACGACGTCGGACAACCAATGGCAACAACAACAGAGGCGACAGCGACAACTGCACCGATGACAACGACTACGACAACGCTTACATCTCTCGCGGAGAGGGGCTTGATGGTCTGCCCGAACGAGAGCGTCCCCTGCGACTTGGTGGAGTGCTGCGCCACCTCCCCCAGGTCCCCGGCCTTCTGCGCGGCCGCTTTGATCTGCAATGGCCAGCAAAAGCAAAAGGGACACATCAGCAGTCAGTCCCCTACGCTAGGCATGGTGTGTTTTCGGTTTCCTCTTGTTTATGCTACCGGCGTCTCGACATACAAGCAATCAGCATCGCCGACCCGAGGGGATTAAAGCGCGCAGGAGGTGCGGGAGGGCCATCGAGGTGCTCGTGCTCGGATTTGTGAATGAGATGAGCATATCACTCCCGGGGCCCTTCAACATGCCGTTTTGAAAACTCAGCAAGGAATCCAAGAGGGTGCCCCGCCTCACAATATTGCCGTAAATGCAATACACCTCAAACCAGGTCGTGCAACTAGGTTTTGCGGTTGGTCACGTCTCACCACCCTCTTACCGCCAAGAACACACCGCATACAACTGTCTGCTGTTCCTTCGCATGGCAGCGGCCCCTCGCGTTCAGGATGGTTCCCCCCTTCCCCTTAACACGTCGCGCCCCCAGTCCCACCCCCTTAAGCCTACACAAGGGGGGGACTCCCGCTTCTGATCCTCACGTCTTTCGCCGAACGTCCCGTAGCCCCCTGGATAGACTTCTGCAGCACCATATCTCCGATGCCGAGCTCCATGCCTTCGTAGGAAGGCGCGAGCTACCCGAGGTTTCGCCGCATTGTACACCGTACCGTACCATGCCGTACCACCAAGCCCAGAATGCGGGACATCCAAGCGCAAAGGCGTGAGGGGGGACGGAACAGGACAAGCGGGGCCGAAGGGTTTGGTGTTCGTCGCGTGCGTGGAAAAGAATGAATTGGAAAAATAAAGGAGTTAAAAAAAAAGAATCGAACGGCGGTGAGACAGGCTCCGGGAGCGACGATAATGTGGTTTGGCCTCGACAACAAAATGAGCTCACGTGTGAAGTTTGTTTTCATCGCACGATAATAACCATCATCTCGCATCTGCAGTTAGGACTTCAGCGGCGGCCCCAGCCAGGCGGCAAGAAAAAAAAAAAAAAAAGAAGAGCACGGCGGGCCAGACGAGCGGTGCGAGTGGAAACATACCTGGTTGCATGCAAGGTAGACGCACGGAACCAAGTCCTCAGGGGTGAGGGCGATGACTGTGCACAAGAAGCCGCGAAGAATCTCTTGGATTTCCAACCTGGTAGGAAAAGATATATGGATCGAAGAAGCGAACCGTCATGGTCGCCCACACCATCCAAAAACAAAAATGAAAGAGAAGAAACAAACAAGTGGTCAGCCAACCGGATTTCTAGTAATTGTCAGCCAATCGGATTTCTAGTGTCCGTTCCTAGGTTTACGGTTAGGGTCAGGGTTAGAATTAGGTAGTCTGCTTGTAGATACGGTATAAAACACACGCAGTCCTAGGTGCCTAACTATCGTACGCGAGGGCGTGCACCATGGAACGGCGTTGAACAAGAAGGGACGACGACACGGGCAACCAGAGCGGGGAACGAACAAACCGTCGCGACAAACAATGGGACGGAAACAACAACCGGTAAAACACGAGAAACCACGCAAAATGGGACACACGACACTAGGCCCAGCTGAAACAGCCCGCTAACAAAAAAAGGCTAACAAAAAAAGGCGAGGCGGGACAACAACGTGAGCGGCGCTCGCGAGGAGGTGGGGGATCGCGTGGTGTGGGGCAGGTTGTGACGGAGAGCCTAACCTCTTTGACGTCTGCTCGACGCGGTCGAACATCTCGGCAACCGCTGAGAAAGGAACAGGCTGGCCCTTCTTCCAGGACGCCTTGGCAAGGAGGTCTTCCGTCTTGGCTATCACGAGGCTGGCCGCCGTGCTGCCCTGCACGCCACCAATGAGCAGTTTTTAACCGACCGCGACATCAACGGGGGCATGGAGAGGCAGGGCCGTGCTGAAATGCGCATGCCTTGTGTTTTTGCGCTAGCCTCGGAAACCGACAGCACGCTGTCAAACGGTGTTGTGCTGCATCGAAAACCTCGAGAAAAATCTCAAGCAGGCCCTTCCTCGTTTTCGCTTGCACGGCCTCCGCACACGCGAGGCACCGCAAACTGCACTCGCGAGACACGAGACACGAGTGGGATAACAGCACCGCGGGCTGCTCCCCTACACGACAAAAGAAGCTCCCGAGCTCCACAAACAGCGCCAACAGAAGCGGCCTCCCACGTTTCGCCAGCAGCACCACCACGCAAGCCGCTGAACGACAATTTTGCACACTACTTGGCCTTGGCGCACCGTTGCTGCGCGTAGGCAGAAGCAGCCCGTCTGCGGGAAGCAACAAATCTTGCGAAGGGGCGACAACTTGCCTTGACTTTTTTCTTAGGTGGGGGCGCGCCGCTGGCCCTCTTGGCGCCCGCCATGAGCGCGCTCGCCACGGTGCCGCTCGACCCCTTCGTCTTCTTCGCCCCCTTCCCTTCCACCTCGTCCACATCCTCCTCATCCTCTTCCTCTTCCCCCGCCTCCTCCTCCTGCTCTCCGGCAGTGTCCGGTCCGGCTTCTTCTTCTTCTGCGCCATCGTCGTCGTCGTCGCCAAGCTCCAACGCGTCCACGGCGGCGCTTTTCCTGTCGCCCTTGGCAGTCTCTTCCCCTACCGCCGCTCCTGCTCCGAACATGTCGTCGTCGCTGAGCCCGCGGTCGGTTTGCGGCAGACGCCGGTGGCGGCAGGTTAGAATGGGCACCAATAAGGACCGCATCTGCTAGATAATAAGCTCACGATGAAAAAGAAGAGGGAAGGGTTACGCAGACCTTACTCCCTAACCGATACCCTAACCCAACTTTCCCGAATGCATGCTTATCCAACATGTTTACCTAATACATAGCAATACTCTGCGAAGGCTACTGAAAATTCATGGGCATAACAACAACAAACAGATACACTAGCAACAGCAGCAACAAAAACAACACCAACACCGACACCACCACCAACAACAACACCAACAACAACAACAACAACAATAACAAGCAGAGCAGCACCAATGGGAGTACCCGAAGAGTAAACCCACAAGGTGGTCCCGACACCGCCGCAAGACGGAGCGAGGTTGTGGGCCGGGCGACCAACACGCCACACCGTATCTCAAGCATCGCATCGCATGGGCGAAGACATGCCACCGAGTGCCACGCGTAGCATCGGTCCCAACGGAATCGTTTCAAAGGCCACGTTGTGCCACACGCGACGTGTCGAGGCTGGGTCCCCACGTCTACCTGTCTCGTGAAACAACAACAATAACAACAACAACTGTAAGCTTTAATGGCGGCAGGAAGGCGCAAGGTCGACCCACCTGTCCTCCACAGCAGCGTTGGCCTTCTTCTCGGCGAGGCGGCGCAACCTCCTACGCTTCTTCTGGGCCGGCGCATCCTCCCCCCCCTCCAGCTCGTCGTCCTCGGCCTTCCCGCCTCGGGGTGCCGCCGCGGCTGCCATCTCCTCCCCCTCGCCGCCGCCCTCCTCTCCCGCGGCCTGCTTCCGCTTTCCGGCGGCTACCGCCGTCTTCTCCTCCGGGGTGAGGCTCTCCCCGCCACTCTTCTTCTCGGCGTTGCTGGTCCTCGCCGGGGAAGGAGGCGCCGTCGTCGCCTCATCCTCACCGTCGCCGTCGACAACGCGCCTCGGTTTCTTGGTAGCGGCGGGCTTGGTGACTTTCTTGGCTGCCTTCGGCTTGGCCTTGGGAGAAGTTGTGGCAGAAGGCGGGCGCGGCTTGGGGGGGGAAGGCGGGTCTGCTGCCCCGTCTTTCGGCCCTCCGAAAAATGAACTTCGTGAAGGGAAAGGCGTTGGGCAACGGCGGCGGGGGGGGGCAACCGGGCGGCGGCGTTGTAAGAGGGGACTTGGAAGCGGAATGTCTTCCGACGGGCACGTGTGCGGGACGCTTTGACATGTGATTGCTGTCTTGGCTACAAAACTGTTGTTGTTGGGTACTATTTCCTGCGTTTAGATAAAGGTACCATCACTATCACACCGAGGAGTTATGACAGCACCCATTGCGTTACACCGCTCTTCCGCGGCACGCTCCACGATGCTGGTGCTATTACCGCTGCTTGAAGCTTCGCAGTCTATTTCTCAGTAAAACATTGCCGCGAATTCGCGCAACTCCCAGACTTCCATACAAACAATTTTCCCCGCGCCAACATGTAAACGTCTCAAGCTGTCACCCCGCGGCGACAAAAGCATTAATGGAGTTCCTCTATGACCCCAAAACAGTTCAACTATCCTCGACTACCGCACCGGGGTTGGCATGTGTGAGCTCTTGCTCTTTCTCTCTCGTAAAGGGTCGGACTTCCCAGGAAGGAGCGGCAAACTTTTGAAGTTTTTCAAAAAAAAAAAACTACCGCTCGTGCTTTAAACCGCAGTTCGGTCTGGTAGCGCGAGCACGTTGGCGATCCCGGCATGGGAACCATGTACAGCCAACACGTGGTACGACAGAGGGGCGCTTATCTGGTCGAGCGAAGGGAAGGGGAGAGGGGACGACGCGTCGATCACACGGGAAGAGAACGAAAGACACGCTGCTGCAGTATGCCAATTTTCAAATTCAAGAAACGAGGGATCCACGATCAAAGCTCACGTGATTGACTTCTGCATGGGTTGCTCGTCGTTCTCGAATGCAGGCGGATTCCGTCCTGGTTCCCTTCACGCCCAATCGGCTGGGAGATCTGGCCAGCCTTCTGCAGGTGCTACGGTACGTCTCTTGCCCGTGCCGTTGTGCGAGGCAGAGGCTGGTCGCGCTCGACTCTTTGCTGGGGGGCACAGGGACGAGAATTTAGGGCCACCTATCGTCCTTCAAATAGGCTCCGTGTATCATCAACAACCCGAACCCCCGAGGCCGGTTGCCCCGCAGCACCGGCGTCACAAGGGCCAGAGGCAGGAGATGTACAAGAGAAGGACACCAACATACGCCGCTAGTGCACACCCAACTCTTTCCGCCACCCCAACCCCTCGGCGCACTTTGAGAACATTATTATTTCCACGTCGGTGCATGAGCATCGAACAACCATCGAGAGAGCAGCGATACTGCCGCTGACTACGACGGCCCATTCCCGTGCTCCGCGCTAGCGTGTGCTAGACCAGATGCCGTGCCTGTCGGGTTGCCTCTTCGAGTCGACGCTGCTACTATTCCGACGGGAAACATGCTGTTCCTGAGAGTAGACGAACAGCAAGGCGAAGGTAAAGGTAGCATGCAAGAGTTTTTAAGAGTTTCTTTGATTTGTTCTCACCGCCTCCGCCGGTGCCACAATCAATGCGAGTCATCAAGTCTCTCGGCTTCCAAGCCGGCACGGGTGTTAGAAGGGACTCAGCGGAGACCGGAACGGTTTTTGATATACAGGGGAAAACAAAAACAACAACAACGACAACAGCAACGAGCCAGGTGCACGTAAAGTCAGTGCCGCAGCATCAATGTCAGCAATATATTGCACAGCATCTTCAGCTGCTAACATGTAATACTGTTGTGATGTAGATGTTGACACCAATGTTGGATCTCTATCGTGCTGTCCTCCTCCTTGTTGCAGAGGGAGAAGCCCACCTCGAGGGGCTGCTACGGACAGATGGCTGCAGCGGAGCGGCGGAGACCTTAAGGGCGTTCTCGATCTGCGGGACCTTGGTCGAGCCCATCTCAGGGTATGTGTGAATCGTAAATCATTGCCGGTGGTTTGTTGTCTCTCGCAGCAGAGGTCCCAGTTGCACCGATGCGAAGCAGACAAGCGTCCTTGAACTCAAAGCAGGTGCTGGCATGGCCGAGGACTGCGCTATCACCTAGGTCCATATGCGCGCTTTATTGTTTGTATGAAGATTTCCGCACCAAAAGCTGGCGCATGCTGAAACCCCACTGCTGTACACGGTTTGGTAGCATGCCCACGCCTTTGCACGCGGGAAAATTCTGTTTTGGCACGAGTGGGCACGCCTTGTTTTGCCACATGTCAACCAACCTTTGCGCATGCTGAACCCCCACCGAAGTTTGGTAGCGTTGCCACGCCGTTGTGGGGAAAGACTTGCACGACCTTACGATCTGAAGTACTCCGTAGGCCGGCGCCAACAGGAACATGATGTGCGGCAAGAAACTCACACCGTGCCTACCACTATGTATTTCCGTGCACGATTCAACGCTTGAAGCGCAACCAGCGTAAAACTTTCCCCGACTCTTCCCCCCGTCTTCTCCCCTCGTGTCGATCGAAACGGACGACAGAGTTCCGCATCTGATTCGGCGCGACACTAGTGAGGCAGCAGCTGGTGGAGCGACGTGGGACAAGGCTAGCGAGAGCTTGGAGAGGAGAGAGAGGGAAACCCCGACCACCCAGGAACTGGCGAGTTACCGTCCGTCACGCGAACGACGACGAAACCCGCCGAGCTGCGCCGATTGTTGTTGGTTGCTGAAGTGGTGGTTACCCCCTTGCCATGCTTTAAGGTTCAACTGATCTTTGATTTCCCGATGGGCCACGGCTCGCAGTCACTTTTTCCGACAGTTTCATTCGGCTTTGGTAGTTTCTCATGACACGTTCATGCACGTGCTCCGCACTCGCCTGATTCTCTTGAAGCGACACCCCACGGTATGCGCTCGCGTCAGCACCATCGCATTCGCCACGAGGTTTGATTTTCTCGGCCCTGCTGCCGGCATCTCACATTGCCCGTGCGAACTTTTGTTTTCGTTATTGCTTCTGGTCGCAGGCAACCACTTCGCTGGTTTACCTTCCGGCTATCCCCTCGTGGCTACCGCTGTGGAGCTTGCTCTCTCCGTCCGACGCCATCAGCAGCAGCGGAAGTAGTGGCGTTGCGCATCTTTCCGAGACACGAACGACCGGTGCAGACAAGACTCCGCCACACGAGCCTGCGGCCACCAGCGCCTCCAGCGGAGATGAACCAAACGTCTCCGTTCTCGGCCCGGCTCTCGACGGACGAGCTGTCGATGGAAGCGGGGACAGCGTTGGCGGCGGCGGCGGCGGCGGCGGCGGTAGAGGGGCCGTACGGCTCGTGCAAACCGTAGCCACGAACCAGGCGCCGTACCGGTACGCCGTCGTCTTGTACTTCTGGGACGTGGTGAGCGAGAGTAAGGGAGGATGGGACGCAACAAACGAGGAATAATGGTCAGACGAGTGTTGTGTTTTGACAACAGCACGGGCAGCAGGTCGTTGTCGATTTTGACGGGTTGCGCCGACCTACACCCAACGGGGGGTCGGCTTTGACACCGTCTGTCACCAGGTACAGGCGGAGCTGGGTAAGGCTAAGACAGGGGCGGTGTGTTGCGACTTTTTTCACGTCCCCGCGTGCTGAGGACAGCTAAATACTCATCAATGCGGGGTCTTCTTGTTTCGGCTCCTTGCTTGGCGCCAGTGGCAAAGGCATATCGTAGAGTTTGACGTGCGGTGTGTGAAGGGTCTCCTCCGGTCTTGCAAGGTATAGCTTCACGCATACGCCCCAGTCCCGCGCGTTCATCATGTCGTCGCTAAAGTTTCTGCGCTCCAGTACGTCGAACGGTGCCCTAATATCATCAAATCCATCAAGGCTATCGAACATGAGAAGAACCATCAACAAAAATATGCAGCCAACAAAGGCCAATGCGCTCGTGGAACAACGACGCCTAATCGAAGAAATCAACCATGCGATGTGCCTCATAGGCCTCGTCCGATGGTCCGCA